TTAGACACCGGTATTGGGCTTTGAGACCCGGGGTTGATGAACCCTTGAAAAGCCTTAAGATTTTGTTGAGACCCTTGGAAGCACAGCCATAACTGCTGTGGGTCTCCAGTGGAAATCCAGAGGAAACCAAGATTCAAGATTGGGGCACTCTGACTGCACGCCTAACCGCTCTGCTTTTGCCACTTGAAACCCATTGCTGCAGAGGACAAAATGGAGGGAGGAGAGCGAGAGAAGGAAGAGAAAAAGTAAAAGGCTTTCTGGAAACCTAGCAAACTTTTCCTGCAGAGGGTCTCACTAGAGGTTAGAAATTCTCTAGAAACAGCCTCGTTGAAGTAAGAAGTGAGAGATGTGCTGTTAGGGAAGCAAAAAAAGCATGCCTTTATTACTAAAAACCTATATAAGTGATGCATCCATCTTTGAACCAATACATGTGTGATGTCCATTACAACAGAGAAAGAGAAATCCATATTTGAGAATCACAGAGCATCAGCCATCCACACTGACTGCACATTGAAGACATTGGATATTGTAATTGGCTTAACCAATCAGTGGACTGACTCCCTCATAGAGGTACTGTGCCCACTGCTTAACTCACCCACACAATGTGTTAAGTGCAGTGCTGCCATGTTTAATGCAGAGTTTCATTTTAAAGTATTAACCTTAATCATACAGTATTTAGTTAATTGTGTGATGCGTTCCAGCCAAAAAGGTTTTGTGTTCCAAACCTTTTAATGCTTTGTACTGTAGACACTCCAGTCCAGCTTTAAGAGTTCAAAATAGGAAACTACGAAAACGTTTTGGAATTCCGAGGAAAACACTTTTTTCTCCGTGTAGGACTGTAACATTTACAGTATGAACCAAAACTTTGTCATATTCATATTTCTAACGAAGTTCGCAACCAAAAGTTTGGAAGCACTAAAACATTCAGAAAAATCCACATGTAGCGCTTCTTAGCAGTTTACACTTTTTTATTTGTATTATCTTTTTATTTTTAACGACGTATATTTAACTTTTTTCTGATGCGTCTTTTGCGCACCAGAAAAATATCCCTCCGTGGTTGAAAAAGTTCGCTCACACAGTTTGTAGCCACACACGAAAACAAAAACCTAAACTCCGTCTCCAATAAATATGACGCCTTCGAAATGTGCATTTACTCGTTCACCAAAGACGGGGCAACCGTTTGCAGCTCTATTGTTCTCGCTAGATAGGTTTCAGGGAGAAACCCAGACCCGACCCCTTCGCCCCCCGCTTTCCAAACGCGCGGTGACCCGGATGCAGTCGGGCTGCGGATCGAGGCCCTGCGCTCCCGGAGCTGCTGGCCAGTCGAGCGAGATTTCCAAGGCTGGGCGACGGGAGAGCAGCTGGCTCGGCTTGTTTGCTCTCTGTTTACCAGCGTTTTCGCCGGATTTCGTTCCCTACGACGCGCGGACTCGGCAGGCACAAAGGACGACAGCGAGAAGTTGGTGAAAAAAATTGTCGAAGGGGGTGTTGTTGTTTTTTTTTTTGCGGGGAAAAGGGAGAAAGCAACCGCTTGTGAAGTTTGGAGCTTGTTTTTTTTTTTGGCGCTCTGGCACGTAGAGGGAGAGGAGACGGAGTTGGGCTTGGGGTTGGTTTCTTTTTCCTCCTCTCCTTCGAGTCGGGAAAAGGGATTTACGCAGCACAGCTACACGGGCGCACGGGAGTCCGGGACGCACGTCTCCAGTGGGACTTCTCCGCGACTTTCCCCGAGCCTCCGTTTCCCGTAAGTTCACCAAAGTTTTGATTCATTTCTGGAAAACGGCGCTGGCTGGTTCTGAAGGGTCCCCCCCCCCTTCCCCGCTGCGCTATCCCGGGCGCTGCGGTCACTGCGGAGGCTGCTGGCCGAGGGGTGCCCGCCGGTCCGTGACAGATCCGCCGTGCGGGGCTGGCGAGCGCCTCGCAGACCCCGCTCTCCCCTCGACCGGGAGTTTCTCCGCACGCTTTCGGGTGCGTGTTGTTATGCTTGTGTGGGCTTTAAGAAACTGGGGTGGTGGTGGTGGTTTCCTTTGCTATGCGGTGAGGAGGGGGGGGGGAGGAGAGGCGAAGAGTTGAGACGCCTTAAAACTTTAAAACAAACCTTGTATATAAGGTTGGGGCCGACGTGTCCGCTGAGTTTTTTATTCTGCTCGGGAAGTGCCCGCTTGCGAGTTATTTTCGTCCGTGGCAGTGGGGGCAGCCCGGGTGCCTGTGTTGTGGCACGTATCTGGGTTCATTCAAAACTTTGCTGGATTGAAGCTGGGGGGAGGCATTGCGTTTGTGTGTGTGGAGGGAGGTATTTAAATAATAAAGCGAAGCTGTACGTCTTCTTTCTGTGCAGCGGCGAAGATAGAGGTGGTAAAACATGCATGTAAAACCCTCTGTATATACCGTAGTATTTGAGAAAATGTTGATTTCTTGTACAGCTGGACCCCCTGGGACCTGGATTCGTAACTGGGCTTTGAAATAACACCCTGCAATTAACGTGTGGTTAATGGTGGGGCTAGTTACACTTAATTGGAATTATTGCGTCTAATTATCCGAAGGGGGGGGTGTCCCTCGATATAATTGGAAACAGTGAAACGGTTCGTTTTGGAGTTTCTTTTTTTAAAATAACCAACAGGTAAAAGGAATTTTTTATGGACCAAAAAAAAAAAAAGAATTTAAGAGCGCCCACGGTTGAATTGGCTTCAAAACGAAATGCTCGGCGTGGTGAAGAGCTTCTCAAGACGTGTCCGCGGTTGTAAAGTTGCGGGACGCTGCGACGGAGGGCTGGAGACGTTGCTGTTTGTTCGTGTGGAGGGAAGGCGGGGGGGTGTTTGCCTGGACGGGGGTTTTGCTCGGCGAGGCTGCGGCTGAGGAGTAATGAGGTAACTCGAGGGAGAAAGGGCTGGCGCAGCGCCAGGGGGGTTTAACTAGTAGCCAGTGCGCGGACCCACGGCCCCCCCCACTGGCGAGGTCCTCGAGTGAAAAGGAGCTGCGTTTTGAGAATAACGGAATCAAATTCTCTGCATTTCTTGCTAGTCTTAAAATTATTGGTGCTGACATTTACGCCTTTATAGTTTTTTTTTGGGAGTCCAGGGAGAGAGAGAGAGAACAGACTTTTTCAAATTCAAGTCAGGTATTTTGTTCAGACTTGGTAGTAGCCTATCTGCTATACTCCCAACTATTGTTTAAAGATAATCCTTATGCAAGAAATACTTTATGGTTTCCTAAGTGTTTTGCCTGGGTGTTGTCTAGGAATTATTGTTAATCTAGACTCGGTATTCTCAGTTTAGCCTTCTATCAAATAAAAAGTGTGGTTTTGTTCATTGCGCATAGGACAATTGTGCCCATTTGATTTATTTTTACCTTAGTTTTATCGGAGTTAGTAGTGATGTACAACATTGGTAATATTTCTGTAGCGCCGACAAGTCGTATTTTCGTATTTACCCGGTGACTGTCGTGCTTATTTTCGATATTTTGGTGTCATGCGAAACATTATATCACCTTATCTTGGGTTTGAAACCGCGAACCGTCTGGGTAGCTGCTAAAGATTCCGAGAAAATTGGCTGAAAAGTTAAATTTACTTCGAAAAGCAGACAGACAGGAAAACGAGTAATTTCATCCCACAGCTCGTAATTGTTAGCTACCCATGAACGGGAGAACGCCGTGTCAGTCAGAACAGTAATAACCAGCTTACTTTCACTCCGGTCCGTAGAGGGATTTTTTTTTTCCCGAATTCGCAGATTTTTGTCTTGTGTGTTCATGGAGTAGCCAAAACCTTTTGATCGGTGTTTGTTCTGGACAAAAAAAAAAAGAAAAACGAACGTTTCGAGCACTAAAAAAGGGTTACAGCCGTACTTCAATTAGGATATAAGCTTATTTGTGCTAAACAAATCAAACGGAACCCCACAGCACTGGGAAGTATTTGAGCTTTTCGGACCGCTAACTTATTATTGTGTATTACAAAATCTTGCGTATAATGTTTTTTTTTATACTATTTAGTCTCATAGTCATACAATCCCAATGTTATGTCTATTTCTTTCACTTTGCAACCCACTCAAAACGTTTTTTCGGCCCTTTACTGTGATACAATACTGTGAGTACTTTAAACCCAGTGCAAAGAATTTAAGAGAACGAAATACAAAGCAAATATAAACCCCTTTAGCTCTTGTGGTACTTTGAATGTATCTTTCAATGGGAGCGTTAAATGAAACGATTTAACAACGTCTCTGCTCTTCACCGTTTCAGGAGCTTCGAATTAAAAAATGCACGAGAGAAGGCTCATAGAAAACTTGTAGATACAGGAGAAATTGTGGCTTCTTTTCCACGTACACTTACATGTAGTTACTTAAGTGTAAAAAAGGTTTGTGCCTTTCATTTGGACTCCCTTTAAATTGCCTTAAGAGAGCCATTTTGTTCAAAATAAATGTAGAGTCTGATTTTTTTGTGCTTCTTCTGTAAAAGCACAAATACACAGGCAAAACAAGTTGCATGAACTCACACGAAGGAAATCAAAACAACAGTAGGAAATAAATGAGTAAAAAAAGCTTTTCCAGAGGAATATTCCTATGACTGTTTTTTTTGGTTTGCTTCATTCATATAATTGACTCTTGGGTGCTGTGGAATATAGCCTGAGTTTTTTCCCCCTCTTTGTCATACTGTACCTCATACTGTACTCGGCAGATACATCTGTGAGGTTTAGTGTCTCAGTGCTCCACCTTGGCAAAATTATATCAAGTGGGGGGTGTTTGTCGATCTCCTGGTCACATTCCTGTGACTCCTGTTGGATAAGAAACAGTTCTGTGAGAACTGCCCGCGTGTGGTGCTGTTCATCCCAGAGCACTTTACATAACGGAGGAGACGCGCGTCCCCAACCACCCAACAAAGTGGGGCTGCCCCCAGTACTCAGCCGGTCAGGTGCAGGAGACTGGGATCGCTTCACCGATTGAATTAGGTGTTAGGGGGTTAGGTGTTTTAGGGTGTGCCAGCCCAGAGTGGAGTTTAGTCAGGACTCCAGGGTTAACGCCCCTAGGTTTTCTAGCTGTGCCATGGCCATTGAGGTCCTGGATTGAAGAGGTGTTAGTGGGGCCAGCAGGGGGCGCTCACCCTGTGGTCCACGTGGGTCCTAATGCCCCAGTATAGTGATGGGGACACTATACTGTAAAAAACAGGTGCCGTCCTTCGGATGAGACGTAAAACCGAGGTCCTGACTCTCTGTGGTCATTAAAAATCCCAGGGCGTTTCTCGAAAAGAGTAGGGGTGTAACCCCGGCGTCCTGGCCAAATTTCCCATTGGCCCTTACCAATCATGGCCTCCTAATAATCCCCCCTCTATGAATTGGCTTCATTACTCTGCTCTCCTCCCCACTGATAGCTGATGTGTGGTGAGCGTTCTGGTGCACTATGGCTGCCGTCGCATCATCCAGGTGGGGCTGCACATTGGTGGTGGTGGAGGGGAGTCCCCATTACCTGTAAAGCGCTTTGAGTGGAGTGTCCAGAAAAGCGCTATATAAGTGTAAGTTGTTATTATTATTATTATTATTATTATTATTATCTCCTTTGAAGGATGACTTTCAGCACAGTGCCCCCCCCTGTCATCACGAGGGGATGCTAGCCAGAGGCCTCTGGACCAGAGAGGATGACTGCCGCCTCCTGGTCGGCCAACCGCAACCTGGTTTTTCCCCAAGAGGTCACCCATTCTGCCACTGATCAGGCCCAGCCTCGGTTAGCCTCTGCGATCTGCCAGTTTGCTGAGTGTTTATGAGCCTGTTGCAGTGTGGATGTGTTTTTGATAGGTTAGTTAGGCAGACAGGGGACAAGTGAAAAGAGCCTTTCACCCATGTAATCAACTGAGCCTAGATCAGTGGTTCCCAGCCCCGGTCCAGGAGGATCACTATCTGCTGGTTTTCATTCTTACTGAGCTACAGTACATGTCCACTGCGAATTGAGGACTTCATTGATCTGCTTGCTTGTTTAGACTTGTATTTAACTTGTTTCTTTGGTCTGTTCTGAGAGTCACAAATACTCGACTTCAGCTGTCCTGTTTCTAACAACCTCATCACACAGAGCTTCACACAGCCTCTCGTCAGATTGTTTTCCCATATTTCTGACTGGACAGCTCTTGCCGCTTCATGAACTGATGATGAGCAGACACGGGTGGGAATGACTCTGTATTAGACACTCCCACAGTGAGTTTTTGCCTTTTGCAGAGGCCCACGTAAACTGGTTACATTTTAGGTAGCACACCCTCGAATGTTGACAGTCCTGAAACTCAGAAATTGGTACAGGCTGGTTACCATTACGAATCCCGTTGGTTGTTTTAAGAGCCGAAAGCACATATAGAAAGATAGCTCAGACAGAGAAGTGAAATTAGGCTGTGATCAAAGAACATGGCTGCAGTAAAAACCAGGAATGACTGTACCCCAAGGCCAGAGGTTCTGGGTCTTTGTGAGCCCCTAGTCTAGATTATAATTGGTGAAGTAATGAAGAGCTGTTTTTCGATTTCCTGCAGCCAAGCCATAGCGGAATAGCTGTACATGCATATGGATTTACATATTGAAGTGCTGTCATTTACATGATGCATTATCTAATAATGCAGTGTGCATGTAGAGTCAACATTATCTGAAGCTTGATGGTCTCTGACGTGTAGGGGCATTTTTCTGTAAATCGGCTTTAACCTTTTATCAGCCCTATTACAAGTGGATGTATTTGCATTTTAGTTAGCCTGATTGCAAGATGTCCAGATTTGCCACTGGCAAATCAC